GTGTGCGATAGACTTACCTCCACGTGGTGCACTCTGGGCAACGTATACTCATACGGCAAAAAAGTCTATTAATCGGCAGTTGACTTCTGACTTCAAACTACCGAGACCCCACCGCATTTCATATTCCACTAATTAAACAGTACTCACCTTTTTTCTACCTTTATGTCTGTCTGTCTCTTTTATGTCTGTGAATCATTATTCTGTCCCCCCTATCGACTTTTTGACACTTTGGTGTTCTTCTTTCTTTCTGTGAAGCCCGAAGTCAACTAATGGGCTAATGATACCTATCATAACGCCTGCCATTTGAAATAAATATAAATAAATGTTAATCAATTAAAAAGTAATTCCACACTCAAGTACCGTTGAGCGCTCTATAGAAAAGGTTGTCAATGAAATGAATATAGACTATTATTTAACATTGACTGAATGATTCCAAATTAAGAGGTAGTCCCTGAAGAGTTAAAAATTGAAAATTGTGTGGGGTCCATTTTCAGAGCATTCAGTATGTAGTACTTTGTTAAAAAGACTTGAAAAGCAGTACAGCCACCGTTATGTTTGAATGCTTTATCTCAGAGAAAATTGTTTGAATGATCACCTATCTCCAAACCTTTATGTTTGGTGGAATTAGGATCAAAAATTAATCCAAGTACATATCTATATGTAGACAGTAAGTAACTTGAGAGACACCGAAATTCATAAGTTGAGAACTTATGAATTTCCAACTGGGCTTTACTGAATACACGGGAAGTCACTATGGATTTTTCAATTTAAAAATATGATTTCTAATAAGATAAAAATATGCAAAGAGGTCGAAGAGGAGGAGATCAGGTGGACGAGTACTAGCTCGAGCGTCAAAATGGCTTAGAGTTTTGGTATGTTTCATTGATGTAAATCCAAATTAACACCGGCTAATGAGGACCTGAGTTTTCTTTAAGCAGTAGGCAATTTAAAGATGTATTGTGAAGTAAATGGTAACGAAACTGCAGGAAAATTAAAATCTCCGTCTAAGAAAATCGCTACAATTCCAATTCCAAACCAATCCACATCTCCCCCTCCCCATCCATGCCCCTTCTCATTGTACTGTAAAGTAATCACCAAAGAGAAGATAAAACCCAAGCTCCGGAAATAGCATTGTCTTTATAGAAAGAGATTTTAAAAATCTACTTTACTTTCCATTTAGTAGCTGTAACAGCTGCAACCATGAATCTAAAAGCTTAATTCGCACTTACAATATGAATAACAAATAATCCCTTTTCTGAACCGACTATGCTTAATAACAAGAGCCACAAATACTGATAATTTGAATTCTTGACCCGCCCCCCATACTATCATCTTATCCTTAACATATAAATCTAATATGCCACCCCAAAATCAATTACTACCAATCCGAAAGAGTGCTCATTTATGAGAAGACAGAAAATAGACCGGCTAAACCTATGATGCGGGTGCAAGTGAGGGACTGTGTTTTACAGAGCCTGTTTCCCAGCCCATAACAGCTGAATAAAAAGGAAGGGACGAATTCGGAAAATACTCTAAGTACAAGAACCGAGAGAAAGATTTATAAGTATAAAAAAGAGGCGTAGATATGCACGTGAACCAAAGAAATTGTTGGAATAACCACATAAATAGCAAAAATTAACCCCAAAGCAACTTACTCTTGAGTGTTTTGCGAAATTATCTATACGACGCAGAATCCTACACATATTTAGAATAGAGATTTACGTATCGTGCTGTAAGTGTTGTCTTAGCAGCAGAAAAAGAGTTAAATCACACAAGCGAAAGTAATACAACAAATATATGCGGTTGAACTGACCTTAGAGAAGGCAAAGGAAATAGCGAACGAATCATTATGAACTGTGTGCGAAATAGTTAATGAAAACGAACCACTCCAAATTACCAAATTTCATGTTACGTGGTGGGTGAGACTTTATGAAAGTCTTAAGGTAGGTGGCGTACGATTGAGAAAATCAGAAGGAAGATAATCTTAACAAATGCCCATACGTAGTGAAAATGTTCTTTAAAAAGTACTGACTATGGAATTAGTGAAGGCACTATAATCAATTAATCAAGTTTCATGTTTTCGGCCTGGGGTGTGCGTTAGATTTACCTCCACGTGATGTACCCTGGCTAGCGTATACTCATATGGCCAAGAAGTCTATAAACCGGCGGCTGACTTCAAAATACCCTGACCCAAAAGTATGCAACATTCTACCACTTCACAGTACTCAAATCACCTTCTTCTCTGCCTTTGTGTCTGTCTGTCTCTTTGACTTCTGTGAAGCACTCTTCTGCCCCCCCCCCTCTCCACTTTTTGTGACTGTCTGTTCCTCCCCTCTGTGAAACCAAAAGTCGACTAATGGGCTAATGATAATGGTTATCATAAAGCCAGTCACTTGAAATAAATAAATAAATGTTTTCGACCCAAATGTTAGACTTCTCAAAGGCCGAACACTCGCTTAACCAAATAACATACTGTATAAATGAGCACAGAGGCAATCTAAATTTAAAGTCAAACGAGCGATTTAAACGTTTAAGCTTAAATGGACAGAGACTGCAAAAAACATATCAAGACGTGCTGATTTAAGTAAGCTATATCAAATATATATCTATTAAATTCAAATAATTAACTACCTATTAGTGGAGAAAGGACTATTTGGAAATAAGCAGGAGTTCTCAAAGAAAAAAAGAATTTTTTCGATAGCTGAAAATATAGTCTCAGCCACCTTCGATCCAATGATCAACCAAATGGCATTGGTACGTGTGTAGATATTATTTGTCTTTATAAGAATACGACAAGCACCAGTTTCCATTTCAAGATTAAATGTTAATTTAAAACTCATTATTAGGCAATGAATTATTCAATAAGATGACACCATGTAGGTGGTAATACTAACTGAAGAAAGATTGATTGGATATCCTTTAACAAAGTTTCCAAGAGAACGGAACAATCTCCACGGTATTGCCGTGGAATACTTCCTTCCAAGATAGTGGTGAAAAGGGAGTCTGAAAGTAATCAATCAGGAGTACCTTAATGAATGCTCACTAGCTACAAAAATAAACAAATGTACTTACAAACGGCCTCTCAAACGTTGTCCTTGAAAGTAAACGTAAAGGAAGTAAACAAGTAGAAATGTCAAGGAAAGAACACCAATTGACCAAAGGCTTGCCAACAGTAGCTTATTGATTTAATCTAATTATTTTTACTTGCTTCGCTGTGGTTTGAATAAGAGTTAACTATTTCTTCCATATATTTTATGATACTATAGATTACATTACTCAGACAAGCGGATTCAAGGTCATAGATGTGACAAAGATCATAGAGAGCTAGGAGAGGGTTAAATTCATGATCTTTGAGACTTTGGCTTCTTCACTTCGCAGTTAAGAAGAAAGTGACATTGTTTAATTAAAAAATCCTTTAAAGAAATTCGTATTGAGGATGATGTCAAAGATAGGTAAGATATTTTGATGTGTGGGGTTTCAACCAAGTATTTGATTAGACATATAATCGAGCTATTGAAGGATGAACATGTAGTAGACAGCCTTGCCTTCATTCCATCTGTTCGAATTCTCCAACTCATTTAAGAGAGTGAAATTAAACGCAACTATTCTCCCTTTGTGTCCCTCCTACCCCGTGATACCGGAGTTCACATGGACTGTAACACCAAATTGTGATAATAATATCATCATAGGCAGTTCAGCTTCGCAGTGCTTTTTACAACAATGTTAGGCATGGCAGTATGGCTACTTTGCCCATCTCACTAAAATATAACAGTTGACTCCGTAAAGTAATAAAATTTTACAGTCAACAACATTACCTCCATTGATGCGAAATTGTAAAAGGTGGAATATAACACCAACATGGGTAAGAATAGCAAAAGTGGCGTTTAAATGCCTAAAAACGCTGACTGAAGCAGCGGAGTGGAGGAGGGGAGGGGGAAGGGCGGCCACTTGAATAGTGGTGAAAACGTAGAAGTAATTCAGGAGGAAGCGCTCCTACAATCTCTATAACGTTAACTTTAATGCGAATAAAGTAATTACTTTATGCCATTCATATATATGCCCAATTTCGCACCACAACTTCAGTACAGATTACGTTGAACTTCCTATGTAAAAAAAAGTCACTACTGCTTGCGTGATAATTTTGTTTATGAATGTGATTGATTACTAGTGTAGTAATTTAAAAGATGACCGTTTATTGGAGTATATAAGACAAAATTAGTGTGCAAAAAAATAAACCCCCGCTCACATAAGTGGATAAGTATTTATTAGCCCTGTGCAAAGACCTTTTACTAATTTAGGCAATGCTGGAGGCTTCCATGATAATCTATATTGAAGTTGTTCACGCTATTATTAGAATCTATTAATTGCATAATAGAAATAGGCGAATAAAAATTTACTCAAATCTATTGAACTCACCAACATTGCAATAAATTCCGATCTTCGTTTAGACATAATACCCTTTTCCACAGTATTTGAGGCCTCTTCCCTGATTTGACGAGTGTTAGGTGGAGGAGTGACAGATGTACCAGAGTTCTCCAAATTGCGTCTGAGTTTGCCCACATTCACCCGACGTAATTCTAAGCATGGCGAGAGAAGTGGGCGAGTGTTAGAGGATGAGGAAACTCGAGGGGAGGCTAGTGGATCGATATATCGATTTAAGGAACGGATTGATCCCGTCGGGGAGGCTACCACGAAGGAACGTCGGTTCTGGACACGGTTAGTGCTAATAAGCTGTGCTCGAACTATAAGAGAAGAGAAAATATTCAAGTTTATGTGAACAAATGCAGAAATTCCATTCACTTATAAATTTTTGCTTATGTTACAGCACACACTGAGTGACCCCTAACGACACGTGATTTATAATCGCAAGAATAACAGGTTAACTAGTTCTGACGCTCATCAAGCTCTGGTAGTAGGAGACACAGTCTCTCTTAAACATCCAGAAATCATTTCATGAAATGTGAACAACAAAGTCTTACAGTGGATTTCCCACTTTTTTAGAATACGGACAGCCCAATGTTCCTGAATGCATGTACGTATGCCACTACCAGGTCCTCTCCTCCGTATCAAGACTTTTTGAATGAGTAGCAAAGGATTCTTGGGCTTGCAAACAAAACTGTGCACCAGAGTAACCTAATTCAATTACATCGTTTCGGCTCTTTCCCACGCTTTGATTGGTTTATAGAAATTTTAAATCAAAACGATTTACCAGGGTTCATGAAAGTCGGCCAAAGTTTTGGCAATACCTTCCTTAATTTTGAGTGCACTACGTTTAGCGGTAACTAAATCTATTATAATATAAAACACATTGGCACCTCCGTAGTCCATTCCTTTTAGCTCGTTTGTATGAGATATTTGGGGGAGGGGGTGGGGGAGCAGGAGGGGGGGGGGGAATGGGAACCTAAATGATATTCAAAATCGCGTGCTTCAGAAACGTGTGCTGAAGTTACTAATGGCGCAATTAGAAGAGTGACCACTGCAAACTCGGCAGCTGTGCCCACATTCTACCCAGGTGTTTTTGGCGTTAATCAAGGCCGCATTTAATGCGTGACTAGAATTTGTCTAAATGATTAGATCAATTTACTTTGAAGACCGAATGAAAAGGAGGTCTGATTCGACTAAGAATGTACTTTGGTGAATGATAAATTAGCTACTTTTAGTCCTGAAAAAAAGTGATCTTCCGTTAGCTGCAGCAATCAAAAATGTGCTTCTTTGAGAGTTGTCATTTTTATTGATTGGCACACACCCATAGACACAGATGCAAAATAACGGTGTCAGAAAGAATCCAAACAAATCAAGGCAGAACAAAACATACCGGTCATGTTTGCCACAAATGCTGGGTCGCATTTGTTAAGGCAGGCATGGAGATTCATAAGATATTTCGGCCATCCTTGCGACGTAAGCCTCTGCGGAGCCCCAAAGTTCTCGGTAAAGAGACGCATAGTCTCATTCAATCCAAGTGGACAGCTTATATTTTCAGCCACCAAATCTGGGCGATATTTATGCAACAGACATCTCAACGCCCGACCATCTGACCAAGTCTCTGCAGACAAATCAAATATCGGTGGACAAATGGGTTCTGAATAAGGTGAAAGTCGAAGTTGGTACCATTTGAGAAGACTGACTAGAGGAGTGTAGTGTTTATTTATAAGGTCAATATTTTTCGGTGAAGATACCAGGTCTGGATTGTCAAATTTGACGGAGTCACGGAGAAAGGAGAAAGATTTTCGGTCTGTCATATTGGCGATTACATCGGAGTCGTAAAGATGACGAACTTGCATTGGTCTGACTAACTCCAGATCTGCATATGTATAGCTATAGAGGAAAGAGGTGAGATCATATCTAGTTATAACCATGAATGGCATAAGACTGGATCTTTATTGAATTTGATAGGAATAAATATGATTACTTTTAAGTCTAATAGACAGCTATGAGTCATCCATAGATATCGGTCGTATTGATTAATCGAAAGTACATATATGTTCGATATATTCAAATTTCAAAAAATCTCCAACCAGGAGTTATTAATTACTTTAACCACTTAAAATACCTTCATTGATTTAGCAAAAATTTGTTTTTTTGTGATTATTTTCCAAAACTCTCAGATAGAGATGATAGCAACTACCATTAAGCCGTTTATGAACACTTTTAGATATTGTTTTAAAGGCGTCCGGAGAGAGGCAAAGTTAGATATTCAATGATATAAAATGCTTATTTAAAGTACAAGCTCGAGCCATTGCTTATATATGATTAAGTTGTGTACTGAAACAAATTCTACGAGCTTTAATAAACGAATGCAACATGGACTATGGATTCAATAGCCATCTGTGTTTGTTATGCGACCGGAATAAATAATGTTCACAACGTCTATTAATTAGAGAGAAAATTATTCAAAAATATCAAAAAGATTCGCCTAACGACCATTTTGGAAGTACGTTTAGCAAAAAGCATACAGCTTTATTTAAAATGGAGATTGATTAAACTGTTTATTTATTGACACGTGCTCGGCTCGACAACTAGCGGAAAAATTACACAAACTGAGCAACAGCTTAACTGAGAAACAATGTATCGATTGTCGATATTCTGCTTGCGAAAATAGAATTTCCTCCACTTCAAGCATACAAGGCGGATCTTCATTTGAGATATAATGACTGTGTTCGAAAGGGTAACTAATTCAATAGATATATGTGAAAATAAGAAAAATGAAGTGGAGGGAGAGTAAAGATTCACTCGGCCATTTGAAGAAAATTTAATTTTGAGTGGAAATGAAGTTCGTCTCTAATGAGCGTATTGGTTTTTGCCGAGATTTCGATTGGACTACAAAGGAGATTCGCCACTTTGGATTAACGATTTTCGGTAGGAAGACCCTTTCATGTGCCGCAACAGCTTACGTACAAGGTTATTAACATATTTGAATGTGCATTACAATTAGTGGCTTTCATCTCTAAGCTTTTCCCGAAGCGGAAGTACATTCGTAGTAGCTTTAATGACCACAAGATAGAATCGGGGTGCAAGAGATCAAAAAAATAGTTTCCGACCAGCTATGTGTCTTTTCGAATAGTAGCTCATGAATAAATATCACAAACTGCCGAAATAGAAGATAAGTCATTGGAAGTAGAAACGAAGAATTTAGAAAAAAGCCAAGTACTCTGATTGTAAATTAGTTATTTCAAAGTTTACAAGGGATTATTTCTAAACATTTCCCCAACATGCCAACATCTAATAAGCAAACTTTCATTCATCTTAATACGGAGTTTTAATAAGAGATTAAAATGAACAAGTTGTTTGAATAAACAAACTATTTATCTCTTACAAAGAATAGATATCAAGTCTAGATTTTAGGGGTTCTGTAGTCTTGACAACGACGTGGTAAAATGGGTGTGTAAAGGATTTCTAAGGCTTGAACCTGCTTCTTTCTTTAACCAGATAAAATTACTCAAACTCTAACAAAATGAAACACTCTCAAGATATTTCTCTGATCTCTTTATTACCTTCCATTCCAATAGTACTTACAGCCAACCCTGAAATCTCATATCGAAAAAAAATTAAAAGTATGCACAATATGAGCTAATCATTATTTACAATTTAATGCCCCATACAAAAAGCACAGTAATCCAAACAAATCAGTACAAGCACATACAGAAAGGAGTCATTCGAATTGTAAAGAGTCTCGTTAAATGACAACTACTCCGATATAATACTCGTGTTTACATAAATATACCTCCAGGCCATTTCATAAGATGTCATATTACACGTGGAGCATCATTTAACTGTTTCCAGTATTATACTACCATGCTTTGAGGGCGAATATTCAAACACGCCTATTGGATAGCGGCAAGGCAACCTGGAGCTTTACTCATTGAAATAATAGCAAGCTATCATTCATACGATAACGTATATTCTCTAACAATGTTTCAGAATTTCGATCATAGAAATAAAGCTTTTAATAGGTAGAAATTTCTATGACATTGAAGTAAAGAGTGTAGCTTACCGAGTATTTGGAATGAGTGTATAAGCGGAGAAATTCGGAGGCATATTGGAGGGAGAAGTTTGACTGAGACGCTGGTAGACGGAGTCCCGCCATGCTATGACCCGAAGAGCATGATGTCCCGCTGCGAATAGACTTACAGCCCACGCAGCATCGAGTGCCGAAAGAAAACCAAGTGCACAACCACTCCCTCGTGGCCAAAATGGCTGAAGAATAAGTAACAAATAACGCTTTGCACTGAGATTTATAAAAAAACAGAGCAGAATGTAAAATAGTAGTAGTTGCGAAATTCAAGACGAAACTACCCACACTGAAAATCGGATAGCAGCGCCAAAATACGTCCATAGAAATCACAAACAACGAGGTCACAATTTTATGTATATTGACATCGTGCTAAACAATAGTGAGTGGGCACTCAATAACTCGAAAGCGCGAAAGAGAAAAAAACAATTCCTTAATTGTAGTATTAGTGGCCATATATAGATGACACACGTAATTTGGGTACATTTTATGCTGCTGTGCCACAACCGGCTCAACTTTGCAACAATAAATTAGAATTGCTTACTAGAGTCCTTTGTTTTCTATTTTGCTACATGGAGACAACTTTTGCAATTTTTAAAGTGCTTTAAACGCCTCCGTTTTGTCAGCAATCGTAGGTTTATGCAATCAGTCAAGCGATTGGGGAATGGACTTTGCATTACTCCACCTTTCCAACCACTACTTTGGCTATATAAAAGTGCATTTAGAAAGAACTTTTAACCTCCGTTCAGTCAAGGGATTTGGACTTTATGATTTGATATGAAACAGCTAAATGGCCATTTTTTCTCAGAATACTGACCACCAGATATTATTGGTAGGTTAGAAATAACTAAATAAGTAAAAGTTTGAAGAAAAGTACGCCATGAAATTCAGAACAATGTCAGATTATTCGAAGAAATACTCGATGAGGCGAAAGCCTTAAAAGTAATAAACAATAAAATGAAGTGGCAACGGATTGAATTATTATTTGAGGTGTAAAGTGGTAGCTAAGGTAATTAATTAGAGAAAGTCGTCTTCGTGACATGGAATTATTGATATTCTATGTGTTTGAATTGATACTCTAATAGAAACCATTGATGAGTAGGTTTTAAATCTAGAAAACTAACTTTTAGCGCTTGTGATAGCGTATTAATTAGATGTAAAAAGCACCAATTGATATCGGGTACATGATATTTCTAGTTCGAAACATTTCATACTAGCCTATTTTGGGAGAATTTCGCTGCCATAACTCGGAATCGCGATTTATCAACCAATTTATGGTTTTGCTTATTACAGAGGATGGGAAATTTTTGAATAAAGTTAATGAATTGGATGTGACTAATGTGACGCTCAAATGACTAAGTCTAAGACGATAACCAATACTAGCAGCGTAATTCATAATCAATAAAAATGCTCATAATTTTAAATAAAATGGCGAAAAAATTAGACAGCAATTCTAGCTTAAAGGTTAAAAAGAAGCCAGTTAGACCTTCATTATATGATTGATTAAAAGGACAATAATGACAAGATATCCCCCCCCCCTTTCAAGAGTTGACAGGATGATACACAGATGGCAATGCGACGAATTCGAGAAGTCTTGATTTAATGTGGCGTCTATTAAAATTTTCATCAAAAACCAACTTTATACTAATTAGCTGAGAGGCTAATGCAACGGGTGTTCAGGTGATAAGACTGATATTAGTCCCAAAACAAGTTATGAAAGCTGGTATTGGAAGGAAACTGTTAGAGGTGTCTATTGTGAGAGAAAATAAAGTAAATATCAACGAATCGGAGTATGGATTGTAACGATCACGCCTATACGGTTGGAGACCACACATAGGTGTAGCAAGGTGAAATATTTTGCGTGAAAGCGGATGTAAAAAAATTTCCCATCCTTTGGAAATCAAAGAAGATGTAAAAGTGTGCTTGAGGTATAAGTGACTTAAGTCATCTATACAGGAGTGTTTAACTAAATCAAAAACGCTCTCACTGGATAAAATACGAGTGGAAACCATATATTTCAATTGAAAATTATGGGTTAATTTTAGTAAATAATTAAATGAACTATCAGAAATGCTTTAAATAGTTGCCATTGAAGGCTGAGCAAATACTGACCTACTAAGGACACTTCAGATAATATTTTGTTCATTAAGCTGAATTTATTAAATAAGGTTAGTGAATAAAATCGTTTTTTCGTAAATATCCAGAACTTTTCTGAGAAACAAAAGTGAAAATCCGTGAAATCAGATAACAGAAAAATCGATGCGCGCTTGAATATGCGAAAATGAATAGGACGGTATAGACATCGATTAATATTAAAATATTATGATTCAAAATCGGATATAAAATTAATGCAGATGGAATTTCTACCTCAAGTAGAGCATCACCAACCAAGCATCGACAGAGAGGCCGACCCTTACGATCGGAAACAGAACATGCATATTGAGCAGTACTAAGACTGGTGAAATCGAACACAGCTACATCAGGTTCACCGCGAGAGTTCAGTGCAAAGTCCAGGCGTTTCAGCCCACCACGGGTAGCAAATGTGGCAATCTCACGAGCCAATTGTTGCAGTGCGGTGTAGTTGACGTTTTCGGAACTCAGCAACTTTTCTGGTTCGTCAAAATCCTAGAAAACGGAACATAGATAATCATTTTAGGGATATTGGGCCTTCTTTAAAATTTAATGGTAAATGACTCTAAAAATTAATAAAATTTTATGATCTTGCAACCTCAATTAACTAAGCTTTCTTCCAATTGAAAGAAGTTGGAAATATAGAAAATTTAAAACGAAAAACTTCAACTTTCATATGATAAACTTGTTTTATAACGAATTAAAATTAACCCTTAACAAGGGAATTTTCATTTACTCTATTTATTTAAACAGCAACAAACAGGTGGCCTTTTGATTGTCAAAGGGGTAAGCAAATAATTTGATAAACTACTTAGAATTCGAAAAAAGGCAATACTGAAGTACTTCAATATTGATTTAAGAAAACAATACAATTTGAACTAAAATGAATGCTTTTAATATGATAATGGGTTCAACTAAGTTCATTTTTATAAAATCGAAGTTATTAGTAGCGAATTTCTACAGAGAACTCTACTAAAAAGCAACCTCAAATCCATTAACATCGAAAGAGCCAAGACATTGATACAGTCGATTGTCTGGGAAAGATTTTATAACAACAAATTCCGGTGACAGTGTCATGTCTTAATATAAACAAAAATACCCTCGATCAGATACAATCTGGAAAGCGCTCGAATCCGCCCTCTACAATTGTTACATAATATAATTATTAGACATAAGTAGTGAAATCAGTCCCATATCCTCTCTATTTAAAAATGCGTTCGTTATTGATATTGGACGACCTGGTTTTTTGAACAAAGATCGATGTATTGAACGATTATTTTTAAGTGCTTGTCAACGCCTTTACGCTAATAAATACTGTAAAGAACTTTTTATTATCCGATGCAGGTAATTTATTGAAACTTTGAAGAAAATACTGTAATATCAATATAACCAACCAACGGTGAGTACCACATACCAGAGAAACCAAATAAGCACTCTTCATTTGGCTGGACTTAAAGGCGTGTGACAGTAAACCAGCTACGTTGAGAGTGTTGTATCTGGGATTTATTAATGAACAAAGGACGGCTTTCATAGGCACCGAGGACATTAAAAGTAAACCAACCAACCTGTAGATCGACTCCAGACAAATTAAAGCTACAAACTTTTCGATTAAACGTTCAAAAATTTGTTTGTCATTGGGAATTTAAAAAATATGCCAACCACTCTCGTCAGCCATTGATATAAAAATTTGAGATAAAATCGGGCGTTGAGAGATACCCATGCTGAGACCCGAGGTTAGGAAAGTACTCCTCTCACCCATTTTGGGTGCTGTCATTAAAATGTCTCGGCAATAAGAAAACGTCTTCTCTCCTCAGGTGAAAGCCAAGTTGGCATTCGAGTGGATCGACTTATTCCCTTTATGTCCAAGTTCCACTAAGGGTTGGTCTTCCTATAAAGACCTTTCTATTATGATAACTCAAAGAAATCCGGAGAATTTAAAAGGCAGCTGATATCGAGAACAATCTCAGCAGTTTCTAATAGGTCTGTATTTTACAAAAATAGCAATCAGAAGTCTTCAAATTTCACCTTAGCAGTCAGGTTTCATGCGTAATCAACGTCACATGAGTGTATATATGGCGCAAAGTAAGAACACATCATGGCACCATAAATGGGACTAATCAATAAAAAATCAGTGGGTTATAGCAAGCTCTACATGATGAAATATGCATTCCGAGGACTTGCAAAAATAAGCAAAGAACACAGGAAGAAGCGTACGATTCATAAAATAGATTTGGACCCTACTTCAACCCACTAGAATACTATTTTTCGTTCATCCCTGCGTTCAAATAGTCTATACGCATTTGCTTTGTCGATTCAAGCCTAATTAACTCCGTCATGACACTCTTAAAGCGCAGTGTGGACTGGCTGTTAACTCGTAGAGATTTGGCCACGTCCTGGCCAAAGTCATTTACTCGGCAAATGCAAAAAAGTGAAGTCACGAGGTTAGCCAAGTAGTAAGGTCAGGAAAATATATTTTTGCACTAAGATCTGTGGAGATTAAACTGAACTAGCCTAGATCTGAGGATTATCTTGGAAGTAAGTCAGCATTCTCGAAAATTTCGCTAAATGTACAAGTAAAGTTACATAAAACTCAAAATATATTGTCAAATGCATGCATTTGTGTTGACATTATGTGGAGAATTGATCACCGTTTGTAAGCTTGACTTAGGGGGTAGGGGGGA